AACGTACTGGAGATGCTGGTTATTTTGAATTTGGAACATAACCAGTTGATGTTAAGAGATTTCCTAGGAGATACTGCATGTTGATTCCAGATGGAAGTCTATCAGTAATGAGATGCAAAACAGCTATGATATAGATGTAAATAAGTGTTTGTGCAATTATGCATCCTTGCTTGACTCCAGTTCTAACAACAAAGGGTTCCATTTCTAAGCCATTGCTTAGGATGGTTGCTGTCATGTCATTGTGAAGAGGTTTGATAATGGTAACAAATTTTGGCAGGCATCCAAATCTGATCAGGATCTTTTATAAGGGCTTTTCTATGCATTCAGTCAAAGGCTTTAGTCAAGTCAGTGAAGGCCACGCAAAGATCTCAGTGTTGCTCATGACACTTCTTCTGAAGATGTTTAGCAACAAAGATCATATCTATTGCATCACTGAAAGACAGAACGCCGAGTTGGGTAAGATCTCCTTAGTGAAGAAAATGAGTCTTTAGGAGAATGTGGGAGAGGATCTTTCCTGCTATGGGCAGGAGTGCAATGCCATTGCTGCAATGTGATCTACATCCTTTTTTAAATATGGTAACAATTCTGGCATCTCTCTAGTCAATGGGAATCTGCTCATGTTTCCAGATTTTCATAATAACAATACATCATTAGTCAGAGAGTTTTTTTCCACCTTGCTTGTAAATTTATCCAGCTAGTGTTCCATCAGGATCATGTGCTTTGGTTTTCTTCATTTGCTTAATACCTTTCAAGAACTCTTGAAAAGTTGGTGGATCTCCACCATAGTCCTTAATGGGGTGTTGTGGAATGGCTTTGATGGTATTGCCTTCAACATTAGAATCTTGGCTCAGGAGCTTTTGAGAAGTACTTCTTCCACTGTGCATGAATGCTGAAGGTGTCTTTACAGAGTGTTGCCCTCTATCCTCAGACCACAGAAGGATGGCTCCTTTTATGCTTTGTCCATATGTAGCTTTGTTTGCAGTGAATAAACTATGCACATTGTGGCTCTAGGCACAAATTTTGAATCTCTTCTGTTTTGTCTTCCTACCACTTGTTCCTTCACTCTCAAATTTTCCTTTGGGTCTCAGCTTTAATGTGGTGATAAGCATCTTGCTTGTGTTTGGAGTTGATGTCATTCTGACAAGCTTTGAAGGATCTCCCTTTTCTGCCAATAAGAGCCTGCAGAGATCATCAGGGAGGCTGGAGGGTTTCTCACCAATGCACCGATGGAGATGCTCATTTTCAGAAGGTTTTTCAAGCACTGAATGCTGAACCTCTTCCTTGGTTGCTTCTTTTGTTTATGTCCCTTTGGAGTGATATGAATGGACATGATGGACTATATTTAAATGACAATCTGTCCAGCAGTCATCTGTGCTGGTCATAATTCTGGCGATATGAACATCATAATAGCCCTGGGCATACAATCCAACAAAATTGATCAGATGTCAGTGTTTTGAATGGGGGTACATCCATGATGGCTTCCATTTGTTGCTTTGAATAAGGAGTTCATGATGATGAGATATAGTGTTCCAAACTTGCTCTGGAAAATAATTCCATTTGAATGGACTTTCCCCACCTCTTCCATTCCAGGTGTTCCCCTCCACAGCTCAGAGTCCCTGCCCACTCTAGGATTGAAATTGCCAGGAAGAATTATCCTCTTTGGTGACAGATGACAGTACTTGGTTGAGTTTAGAATAGACTTGGACATTCCAGCATCTTAGTAACAATGCTGGTCTTGACAGCAAAACCAATGCCATGAATGTGTCTGTCTTTCAGCTTTTCCTTTCCAAAAGAAGGATTTAACCAACACCATGCTCTCTGAGCTGCCCCTCTCCTGAGCATATGGTCTCACTAAGTGCAGAAGTGTCAATATCAAATCATCCAAGTTCTCTGGCCACATGTGTTGTCCTTCGCTTTGGTTGGTCACCATTAGAGTTGTTCATGAGGGTGCGGATGTTTCAGATTGCAAGCTTCATTACTTGATTTGGAGCACAGATAGAGTGATCCTACTGGGTGCGGTTTTGAAGTTGGGTGAAATGAGACAGACTATATTTAGGGCACTTTTTCTAGCCTTCTCTCCAAACAAGGTGAGCAGAGAAGATCCTAATTAGGCCTGCTCAGCTATGACTGCAAATGCTGAATTGCAGACCTGTCTCAGTTTGAAGTCCAAAAGAACCATCATACATTAACTGCCTCCAGTTATAGGCATGCTGCAGCTTCCGGGTGTAGGCATGCTGGAGGCTCCTCCATGCCTAGGAGCTTCCAGTCATCACTAGCACCTGTCCCCATCACCACTCGCTGATTATGTTAGGACTTTCTATGGAAGGAAGAAACCTGTGCTTGTCTTTTTTTAACGTGAAGATGCTGTTACACATCAGTAACCACATGATACTTCACAGGAGGGAAACCTTAATCCAATGGCAAGTAAAACCCAGACAAATGGAGGTTTCTATTCCACTTCAGCCTTTATCTGCCTTTGCAGCCATTGTGAAGCATCCATTTTTCTTCATTCGCCTGCTCTGCTGTTGAGTACTTTTATTTTTGGGTTTCAGTCTAGAAACCTTGCTCTCAACTTTGCCACCATTGGTGACCCTGTCAGGAGAATAAAACTCCAGATTGCATCACTCTCAAGTTCATTGAGATCTTGAGGTGGCACAAAGCCTTTCCACAACATCTAGGTTGCGATCCTTGAGAGGTCACCAAGAACAAATGGCATGGGGAAGGTAAACTACAAGACGGTAGAGTAAGATATAAAGGAGACAATATGGAGCTATTTTTTTCCCTGGAAGGGAAATCAAGATCTTTTTTCTAGTGTTGCCAACTTGATTATTTTTCCCTTGATATTTAATTAAAGTATTCACACAACCGTTATCTTACTGGATTTAGCTGGAATTGGCTTGAACTAAACTTTTATATTTTGGATTCTGAAAGACTCCGAGAGAATCTTTCTGCTAACTTTTAATGCTAAGTTAGGATTTCATGTGGTTATAATAGAAGCAGAGAGTGACAAATCTTAAAGGGTAACATATCACCTTAACAAAATTCCATTAATATCGTTCAAGCAATGATAGAACTGGAATGCAACAGTGACAAAAAGTACTTTAAAATCAGAGATTCCACCTCGTGTGTGGACAAAATGAGAGGCATGTGTGCATGACACTTTAAAGCAGGCTAAATGCTTTTGCACCACTTTAATGGTGTCAGTGTTTGCATGTTTCAGTGGTGTATTGTGCATTAAATTCCAGCCACTGTAGGAAATTCAGCAGCATAGAGCACCTTAAATGGACTTGGGGTACAACAAACTAAAACTCCTTCGAGGAGTTTTAGTTTGCTGCCCCTACAGCTGTGGAGTGAAGCACCAAGCTCTGTGCAGCTCCACGGTTCTGCAGAAAGCCTTGCAGGCATCCTGGCAGCAGCCCAGGAAAGCAGGCTTCACCCAAGAAAAACAGTGAGCCTGATCTTTTTTCCCCCCCCAGCCTTCCCTGGAGACCTGCCTGAGCTTCATGGGTGCCCAGTGCTTCCCTCCGCAGCTGCAGTGCCCCTGGGACCACCTGAGCCAGATGCCTGTGGGTAGGTGCCGCCTGGGTGGGGTGCTGCTGCAGGGGGAAGCACCCCGCTCCCTCCACAGCCCAGGGACTGCTCCACCCGCTGGCAGCTCACCCTCCCCTCCCAAGAGGCAGGTAAGTCAGTGAGGTGTGTGCACAACATGGGTGTTTAAAATCAGCCCTAAATTGAAGCAGTGTTTTTTAAAACCCACCATTTCAATTTAGGACCCCCGTTTCATCTACACACTCCAAGTTGCAAAACACTACCCCTTTTTATACTGTTCTATCCCTATTACTTAAGCTACTTGGCCTATCACATTAAGTCTACCAACATGTGTCAGTGGGCATGTCTACATGAAATGCTGACTGCACAGTATTATTAGGCTACTGCACAGTAGCATCACCTAAAAGATGTTCACCAGCGCTACTGCACATGAACTCCAGTTACTGCACATTTGCCAATACAAGCACTAAATAAATGTGCAGTAATGACTGTGCAGTAGCATCTTGTGTAGCTATGCCCAGTATATCTCAAATATGTATTAAAAGTTTAAAAAAGGAAAACAAATTGCCACTGGAATACTACAAGCCAAGCTTAAAACCTATCAACTGTATTTTTATTTGTAAGAGATATCCAAAATTAGTTCTAAATTTACCAGTATTGTAAGATCCTTGCCTTGCATAACTGCCAAACCAGTAATATTTTTGCCTTTATTATTTACAGTTTTGGACCTAGCATGACCTATTTCACACAGCCACTTTGCTTTTACAATATAGATAATGGAATGTAAATTTTAGTCAAGCTATTTTAATTTTTAAGTTTCTTGGATAACACCAATACAATACTTCACCTCACTTGTGCCATCCTCTGGTTACTTCCATTTTGGCAGAAGTGTGCATGGCACATATTCAGCATTTGATTAGCATTATAGTGCAGATTTAAAAAAACAAAAACAAACCACATCCTCTTAATGATGAGCAGAAAGCTCCTAAACCACAAGATTCTGTTATGCCCCTTGACTTTTTCCTTAGCTCTAGAGCTGCAACAAAGAAAAAGGCAGAGAATAAAAGCCACTTTAACTAGTCACAAATGAAAACAAAGAAACTACTATTTGGTCTGTCCTGGTCCAAAATTCAAGGGAAATCATGAAAAAAGAATCAGCTTTTGTTTAGGATTAAAACAGAAAGACTGTCCAAAAGAACATAGCATGTTTCACTGTCTTGCAGTCAGGTACAAGTTTAAGACAATTACTAACAGAATGTTATCAATGACAACCCCAAATGGAATGAGTTCTGTGACAGTTTTACAAAGGTAAGGACATCTGTAACTCAAATATTCACCACTTATAATTAAATACATTTTAAAATATTATATACATGGACATGGTGGAAAGACATGTATTGCACTACACAGATAAAAAAATAAAATTAAAAAAAAATCATCACTCACTAGTTAGTTAAGTGGTGTCAGTCATTTTTAACGATACCTTAGCCAACACTCTCTGTGATGGCAGATTAAATGTGGCAGGCTTGATGGGGCGTGATATGCTCCATGTAGTTTCCACCTCTCCTGCAGCAACTTCTTGCAATGCTGGCACATGTTCTTTTCTCCAGATCCACTTCAAAACCCTGGTATAAAACAAGGAAATTACCATCTATGTCCTCTAGAGGTTTTGCTAGTTTCCATGGTGGCTAAAGTTGCAGGAACATCTAAACATGGAAGATGCCAAAATTTAGCCGTTTTTGGATTTTAAACTTCATTGCAGAACAACAAGGAAGTTTTTTTACCACCCTGCCTGCCATCTGACACCTCCAGGGAAGGAATTCTACCCTATTGACACAAAGAGCTACTCAATACAGCTCACCAGGACAGTCTCATGGACCCAGAGGGACAACCTTCCATCTTCAGCTCCCTCTGTGCAAAAATGAAGTTTATTTCCTACCTATGGGGACTTTTTACCATCTTGTACCATCTACACTTTTCCACAGAGCCTGACAAAGGGACTTTGATCCCAAAAGCTTGCAGAAAAGGACAATTTTCTTGCCATTTTCCAGTTGGTCTAATAAAAAGGTATCATTTTGGAACCAAGAGTTCTAGTTTTTTTGTATGTAAACAAACCATGGGATTTACTCGATTATTCTCACTGCATAGGCGATAATGTAGTGCAGATATGTAAAAGCATCGCATAAAAGAGAAATATCTTAGCCTCAACTAGCAATCACCGAACAAGATCTGAATAAAAAACATCCCAGCGTCTTTAACTTCTCATCTTCTTGTTTTACTTGAGATTAAAATAAATTGTAGGCACAATAAAGGAATTGCAAAGTGTCCATTTCTAAGGATCACTTTTTACAAGCTATTAACAGTGCTCAGTCCTGCAGGAATAACAAAGGGGTCTCAAGAGAAACAACATTTGCAAAATATACAGTCCTAAACTGCTGGATCCAACTCAATCCCACCCAGCTCAACACCAGCCTCTGAGGAGAACAGACATAATAACCCCACTAAAGCCAATGAACCGCTGACTGCAAGAGGGCCAGGATTTCACTTCCAGTCTTGTACCAGGTTTCCCTGGAGGAACAGAAACTACAAGATAAAATAAATAGCTTATTCCTTTTTCAATGGAAAAAAAAAATACTTTCTAATAATGGTTACAGTATTTGTCTCCGGGTTGTACAGAGAAAATTGCTGCCCCCAATGCAGATTAAATAATAATTAGATAACAATCTCTTAGCTTCTTCACTAGTGTTTGTTATTTGTTTATTATACTAGGCATTTTTCAGCAAGAGTACTACCCATGTGCTCATCCTTCCACTTGAAGATATGCGTGTGTGTGTGTGTGTGTGTGTGTGTGTGTGTGTCCGTGAGCACGCACAAGACAGAGAGAGAGAAATCAAGCCGTTTAATTAATTGTATCCTACTTCAAACTTCAAGAATTTAGTTTCCTATGTTAATACGTTTCTTTATGTTATGTTATTAAGAAATGAACGTTGGACAACTTTTTTTAAATGCCACTGGTTTGGCACATTTATTCTCTGGTGGCTCTTGAAGCATACTTTTAAAAGTCTGAAAGTCACAAACTGATTATAGCTCTGGCAGAAAAATGAGATATTATAAATGTGTTCAGGAGGAGTTGTACTCTGCATGAGGAGCAGTATTACACAACTAAAAATAATGGGATGTTTAGTGAACACATTAGAAGAATCCCATACGCATCTTCTGCATTTGACTTGATAATTGCTATTATGAACACAACATACAAATTCCACCCTCATTTACACCCGTGCAAATTTCACTGCCTACAAAAGGGGGTTGCACAGATCTAAACGGGGGAGGGGGGAAATGACAGTTGTTTTATGATTCACTTACAATTTTATGCCAACAAGAGGAATTTTTCAGGGGACAATTCATTAAAATTCCTAATCTCCTCGTGTTTTAAAAGAAGGCATGCTCTTACCGGACAAGTCAGGACACCTAATGGTCCAGGCGTCAGTGACTACCAAGATAGTAAGGGATCAGGGAACATCTGTACACAGAGGAATAATGGATGGTGAATCACAAGAAAAAGATTCCTTTTGCCAGCAGGAAATATTTTAAATTGTCATATGTAAAATACAGATAAACACAGTTATTTCAGTGTCTACATTACTGCCTATTGTTTACTTATACCTTTAGAAACAGCAGAACAGGAATTCCACAACTGTGCACACAGCCAGCATACATAATTATGTTTTCCTATCACTGCTGTGTTCATTCTAGAGCTCACTCCCTCTGTTAGTTTGTTACACCCCTTACTTGCATTTGGTCTAAACTTAGAATGGAAGTTCGTTTGAACAGGGATGATCCTTTCTTATGTCTTTGCATAAGACTTAGCATGATGAAGCCCATGTCTGTCTGGAACTGTATTGTATTAATATAAATGAATAATGATGATGATGATGATAACAATGGTATAGTATTCTTTTCTATTTCCCTATATTCCTGAGGTGTTGGTTGTAGCCATGTTGGCCTAAAGATATTGTCAGACAAGATTCTTTGGGTAAGTGTGATATCTTTAATCAAATCAACTGAATAGGTGAAAAAAAAAAAAAAAAAAAAAAGTGCTTTACAAGCTTTTGGGCACAAGCACCCTTCTTCAGGCATGGGGATATTCCAGGCTTGTTCAACATATGGCCCGCCAAGCCATTTTATCTGGCCCGCAGTGGCAGCATGGAGCCACAGCGGCGGGGCCGCAGCAGCAGCGGCGGCGTGGAGCAGGGAGTGCGGAGCCACTGTTGCAGAGCGTGGGGCGGTGGTGTAGAGCTGCTGTGGAGCCGCGGCGAGGTAGGCAGGGCCGGCCTGCGGGCCCCAGCCAGCAGCAAGGGGAAGGGAGCTGCTTACCCCCGTGGGGCCCGGGTGAGCGGCCCTGCGCAGGAGGGCAAGCAGCGGCCACCGGCACTGCTGGCCCACGCCTGCCTCCTCACCCGCCCTCTTGAAGCCAGCCCCGCTGCCCTGCCCTGCCCACAGCAAGGCGGCGCCTGCTCGCTCCCCTGGACAGTCTCCCCTCGGGCACTGCGGCTCTCTGGGCCCGGTGGCCTGCACGCAAGGCCCCAAGGGGGCCGCTTCTCATGTGCTGCTGTGGATGGGAGGAGGAGCCCGGCCGGGTGTGCCCCAGCCAGCAGAAACGGGGGGAGGT